ATAAGAATCGGAACTGCAAAGGTTTTGGTACACTTAACAGTACCTATAACATACGCGTGGGCGACGTAGCGAAACGAAGACCATTAGACAATGAACCCTTTCTGATATTATTTCATATTGAAAACTGGGACTTTGTGGCAATGACTACAAGTATATATACACTCCACTAATAATAGATCCAATCAACGCTATTTAGGATAGAATCCAACCCTCAAAACATAAGTATGCCACCATATTATTCCAATCAAAAATTTGTTACAAAATGTGATTCAACTTAAAACTATTAATAATTTGCTTAAATTCCAAAGATGGTTACCAATTGTAGATAAAAAGACCTCCGTAGAAACAAATGATCTTAAGTATTTTCGACGATCTTAAAATAATAGATATAAGTATTTAAAGACTTTGACAGAAGCTAAAGACCGCTGTCCAATAACAACTGTTGTACTACCAATAATCATTATTAATGAATAAATATATATATATTACATATATATTATACATTAAACATTATATCTCTAATGCCCTCTTTCTCAAGATTTATTTTTCATGATGATAACTAAATCTTCAAGTTTTTATCATCTAATCTGTAAGTATCTGATGATATTTCAGTTGAGGTAAAAGAGCTTTTATAAATTTATATTATCATCGTTATAAAAGCATTTAGCTTACTTGATTTTCTTTGTACTTTAACAGTGATTTAAAATTTCTCATCTTTTTATTCTTCTCACCTGATCCTAATGACTTAGTTCATTTAATCATGAAACATTATCGACGAATTTAAAATCATTTAGGGTCATTATGCAAGACTTGCTGTTATTTCGTTGATTTAAAGGTATTGGTACTCTGGAATCTATCCTAATATTACTTTGATGATCTTTGGTTCACTACTGTTTTCTTTGATACTTCTAGAATGTGCCTAAAATATAGCTGTATGTGTTTTGGATTGAGGTGTTATATAATCTTATGTGCAGTTTTCTGAGAATCTTGAAATCAGAATCAGAATCCAGAATCAGTCCAAAACTATAAGATGATTATTTAAAGTAACTTTAGAATATTTTAATAAAGAATATATGAATATTTTCTTTTCTATGCATAGGAAGAAAGGTACACCTATCACTAAAAGAGTTCATTATGATTAAGTATTGTTGTCCATTATTATAGTTATTATAATTATTTATTATAACTGTAACAAACTTGGTTAATGTTTTAGAAAACATGTTAACCATCGCTCTTTGTAAAAAACTATTGACCACGATTGTGGTGACTCTTTAGCTTCGGGCTGAAGGGGCTGATTCCAAAAAGAATAAATATAGATTTTGCAGATCAATTGCAAGTTATAAAAACATCCTAATAGCAATGAACATTCGTATTGAACGTAGTGAACATTTTACTAAACATATAACTCACAGTCACCATGAAAACCAAACTAAGCCTATCCACTATCCATAGAAATAGAAGAAATCGAAAATTGTGTACCAGAAAGGATTGTGTGCGTAGAATTTTTTTTGTTCTTGTTTAGGTATTCCTTTTTTGCTGCTTATGTAGTTTGTAAAGGCATTGAGTTCAAATTCAGTATTAATTTGACAAACATTCTTTGATGGTATACATGACAGCTAACAGCAAACGACATCGCAGGAGACAGGGAGATGATTTGTGCCTTAAGACATATTTTATTTTCTTCCATTCCACGTGCATATTTTTCTCGAAGATTGGTTTGAGGATTGCCATTGACAGAAGGTGTCCAACGCGCACTTTAAAAGCTGCTGTAGAATTCTTAGCTCTCCAAATTCTTCATTTTTTCTAGATTCTTTTTTAAATTTATTGTGATTTAGCTAAGCCAGTTTTATGCGAGCATTGGATGATTGAAACTATGTAGTGTGTTGTGTGTAGCATTCGGGCAAGGGAGCAATGGAGTAATGGAGCATTGTAAGCAGATTGATGCTTGGCGCACAGTTGGACGCCAGCATATTTGCTGCTAACTTTTGCTGATGATCATGATTAATTTGAAGGGTAAAAAGCACACAAAATTGAATATTAAATCCAAAATAAAACCGAAAAAAATCGAAACGGAACGTAACGTAACGAATTGTTTAACAAAAATTTTTTAAGACAAAACAAGAAAAACAAAAAAAAATTAGAAAAACATATGAAAACATTGGAAACATTGGAAACAAGCAACAATCTTTCACAGCCAAATCAGTTTTCCCCTGTGTGGCTTATTAGAGTTGATTAAAAGCGGATTTAGTTAATAAGTTAATGCGGCCGGAGTTGATATGAGGTGAAATATTTGAAATATTGAAATTTATAAGGTTACACGATTTGATTTAGCGCCTGTCTTGTTAATACGACATGATTAAGAGTGTCATTAATACGATCCAATTTAAGATACACACAAATGTAGACTCCTCTTCATCCGACTCATTTCAATCTCTTTAGACTGCGTCCTATTGTTGGCAATGTCATTATTTCTGCTTTGTTGTTTGTTGTCTTGAGATGAAGCCCGAAGCCCGAAGCCCGAAACCACATGTGATGAGGGTATTTAATATCGCTTAAAATGCCTGAAGTGAATTGCACGCTGCTAACAATATTTCGGCGGTGACAAATTATCAAAAAATATCTTTAACCGTAACTAATTACGAATAAGGTTACAATATCACTCCAAACAAAGACGAATAAATATGAGATTCCATTCAAAAATTTTAATAAAATAGAAATTTTGTATTTAACAAAAATCAAATCAATTAGACATGAGATTAGATATGAACAACGATGGTGGTCACACGAAAAGTATATTCGCAATATAAGACACCTGAGAATACATAATTCTCCGACTGATACTAACCATTCTTTAGTTCAGGTATTAATGGAACCAGATTATTTTTATTTAAATTAAATTATCGTATCATGGGAGAATATACCATACAAACTCCAATTGCCAGTTAACAACAAAAAAATTTATAAAATTTTAATATATATGAAAACTATGAATAAATTATTTGTAAAGTCAGCTTTTTAATCTAAACAAACTTTAAAATTTTGTAAAAGATTCTGAGGCACCGATCCCAAATGAATAACTTATTTATATCTAGCACGTCACAGATGTTTTAATGCAGTGACTCTTTAACTCTTTGTAGTTGTAATGTATATACTATATGTATATATTTACTAAGAAATCAATTCTTAGTAATATATGTATAAATCTACTAAGAAATCAATTCTTAGGTGGGTTCCGAAAAATTGCTATAAGTCTAAAACGAACCTTTAAACTGTGAAATATAGGAGCCACATAATTATTTAATACTATCAAATCTTTTTAAGTACAATCACTCTATGTACAATATAGTTTTAAATATATGAGGAGTCAAAATTTCAGCAAATCGAAAATAATCAGTTTTTTGACTATATCTTGTATATAGAACTTTAAAACAGATATAACAGAAACAGAAAGAGATATATGTATACAATATATACGTTACAATCTCAGTATTGTTAATTTCTTAACTAAATAGAAACCTACGTGAACCAAAGTATTTTCGTGGATTTCAATATTTTTAATGATTACATAATATAGTTAATACGTAAGAAGCTTGAGCAGAAATATCCTCAGATTCTTAGTTATATCAGATACAAATCATCATCTTCAATACTGTCAAGTATTATTCAAATTTTCGAATTTTTACTACTTTTATTATTATTGTGACAAATGAGTATTTTAGGTCACATATATGCCCACCTTCGTTTATTCTGAAATCCCTGTCATAAAATATTTTCATATATTATGCATATAATATATAAATGTATAATTTCTCTGTGATAACTTTTGTTCACAAAAATTTAAAGTCGGCTTTCGTGATTATTTTGTAATTTTGGACTCAATACCCTTCCCATTTACAAATTCCTGGTAAAAATTCGATGTCTGAATCTCATTTAGAAAATTTTTTTCACAAAATGTACAATATTTAATATTACTTTAAACTATCTTAACATCATTATTATTTTATTATTATTTTTGTTATTATTTTTATTATCAAATTCAATTACATGTGTTGCCAGTACTTTTTCTTCCCCTAGATATTTTGGTATATCTTGTAATCTAAGTCACACAAAGATTTTTAACAAATATTCAACTCATCAACAACATTAGCAGCTCCCATATACTTTGCATATAAAAAGCAAGAGATTATTATTTGAAATATATAATAGGATTATATCATGTTTCCACTGCATTCAAAACTATATATGTTAATGAATTTATGATTCGATCGTTTCCATTGGCACGAACTGATTTATGCATTCAAAATAGGTGGTTTGTTTACATTTTACATATAAAACATATGACATATATTACAAATTTTGGTGATATCCCTTCTGGGAAATTTATTTTTAAGGGTTGCATCCGATATTTTTCGCCTTTAATGAATTGATTTATTTTTAATGGTGAATTGATTTTTTTTATATGGTAAATTATTCTCATTAGCAGCCTTATTGAGTAAAACTGCTTAAATGAGACCAGTAGAAAGTTGGTACTATTACACTAATAACTAATATTAAGATAGAAAGTAGAAATCGTAAAGCCTTACTTCCGCATACAGGAAATTTACTTCGACTTCGATATGAATAGCATATAGATAAAAAAAAGTTCAAGAATATGTCATTATTTATAGATATACTTATGACATATCAAACCATATTGCAAAAAGATGTAGTAATGTATGGAAATATATACATTGTTTTCTTCAGGTTGAATAGAATTTATTTCCATAGGGTTTGTGTTTGAGTTAGACTCGGTTGCGTCTCTAAAGGTTTATAATTATAAAACTTTAAAACTAAAATCAACTTAAATCGATTTATTCAAATATGTCTAGCAATTATTGTCAAAAACTGTATACAAAATGATATCGGCATCGGAATTTATTAACAATTTTATTCATATAATTTTAAAATTTTCATAACTGATGGACAACAAAATTTTTAAAAAATATTAATATAGCCTTAAAACTACTTTAACTTAAAACTTTTATATTTTGATATAAAAATATTTGCAGTCACTCCCACAAAAAATGTTCAATCAGTAGCAATGAAGAAAGTAAAATCAAATACCTCGGAATGTTTAACCGACAAAGAACCGCCGAAAGAAGTTGAGTATGATTTAGTACATATCATTTCTATAAATCACAATAAATCAAATGAACATATTGTCCACTTAACGAACTTGATGGGTGGTAAATATATAGAACAAGTAGTTTCTAACACACCCGGAATTTGTTATGCCTGCAAGCAGCCTAAGGTTAATCTCAGGATTGTACCACTTAATGATGCGGTAAGCGAATACCTCATTCGTAATCATAATATTGGGTCTGACAGGAATAAAGAATATACTGGTATAAAAGCAAACATACAAACTGAAAGCTCCACATTGTCTGATGAAGGTAAATAAAATAGAACTCATTTCATTATTTTTAAAAATGTTCAATATTCAGGTCAAATTGAAGAACTTTCAATACTCCCAGAGACTGGTAAAATTTCCCAATTTCTAGTTGATAAGAAAGAGATGCAGAAACTAACAGAAATTTCTCACGAACCTCATAAAAATGCAGATATAATGACGCGGATGATTCAACCTGCAAAACATACTTTGATGATGGAAATTCCGATTGCTAATCGAAACGTCGGAAGTAATACTGCAACAATTGACCAATCGAACTCGCTTTACAATGGAAAGCACTATAGTTTAGATTCAGAAATTGAACTTTTTTCTTCATCATATATGACAGACAAATCTCTAACAAAAGATAACAAAACTATCAAAGAAAGTTGCTTTCAAATTGAACAAACGATGGGAGTCATAAATATGCGCTTAAACAAGACCATACCAACCACTCTAGATGTGAAACCTTCCAGGTATATAAGGAAAGTTAAGATAGATAATTCATTTTCAATAAACGAAAAAATTAATAGCACAAATCCAGGCTACCAAAGCTCAGCTAACATTAATATTGGTTCTAATGTTCACATCTATAGCCCGTTTAAAAATTATTGGGAGCAAGAAATTATTACAAAAAATCCAAAATATCGAAGTGGTTCAATAGGAAGCACAACTTCCTCACGATCGGTCGAAAAAGTTATATGTTCGAAGCCAAAAAAATATAGGATTGACTTAAATTCAATCTACCACGGCCTATTTCAGGCTAAAATAAAAAAGTATATAGCAAATCTACCGATCTCAACGACGACTAAGACAGATAAATCATTTCAAAAATCTGGGTAAGTAAATTATACAAAATCAGATTTTCTTAAGTCAGACTAAATTAAATTTAATCCCAACGTTTAAACCAATAGCTGCTATATTAATGAAATTAAAGTTGGAACATTAAAGAAACATCATTTATTTTGGGAAAAGAAACTTGGAAACATTGTACTTGACCCAAATAACTGTGATAAGACCACTGATCCAAAGGAGAAGTTAAGCCGAAATCTAACCTTGAGAAGTATTATTTCACAAACTTTTGATGTCAACGTTGCAGAATTGCGCAAAATATACCTCCACACAACTAAACAAATGTCTACGAATGATATAAAGAATAGTACTGAAACTTTCCTGCGAGTTATGAGACACTCTACTCTAAAAACTGAGAACCAACAAATGAGCAGACTTAGTTCCCTTCCAGAGTTTCGGAAAATTGTTCCCAAAGTGAAAGCAATTTGTTTTAAATTTGAAGAGAAAATTAGACTTTCAGATAGTTCTGTTGTAACTCAAAACACCTTGGGAAAGCATCTTCTAAATTTCTGTAACACAGTAAATGTAAAAAATTTGATAAAATCCTTTGAAAAATCTAACCTTTTCAAAACACCCAATATATTTTGGAGCAAATATTAAAAAATTTGTATTTTTGTATTGTAATTTTTTGGCGAATAAAATTTGGGAACTAAAATGAAAACAAATAGTATTGCCTTTAAGTTGTGCTTGTGGTACATCTGAATACTTCCGCTTCTCGTTATTAAGTCTTTCCATCCAATATTAACAGCTTTTCAAAAACATATATAAGTTTTTAAAGAGTTTAACTATTCTGAATATTTTTGAAGTAAAACAGTGAAGAGTTATAAAGATTCCATTTCAAGAGAAGATATGTAAGTGTTAATTGGGTTTTATGGTATTTGATTAGTCGAAGATTGACATTAGGCAGTACTTAATAGGAATGCAAAAAATTTCAAAGCAAATCTTTCTTCATAAATACAACAATACCATTTTGACGGTATCATTCCTGAACGAAGTTTAACCTTGCATGGCTTACAGTCAGATAGCTGAGTCAGTATTTCAGTAAAAGAAACAGATACAAGTTTGTGCGAAGACCACCAAAATATATAGAAATGGACACTTTGCGTTTTTTTCCCATAGTTTTGGTTATATTAGACATACCCCATAACAATGATCAATTAAGCAACATTGTGAACTCGATATATTCTAAATATCAAACATCTTCGTAGTGTAGAATCCGCTAACACAAATCCTGCTAAACCAGACCACTGCATCGCTCACCTAATCGATGGAATGCCATGCAGTTTGTATGTTCGTGCAGATTCATACCATTGGATATGATACCCAACATCATTCACAGGATATAATTCAATACTTTCGAGCTAATTTTTGATGACTGGGACTAGCTTCGCCATAACTTGAGTGTGAGGATTGCTTACATAAATTCTTTGTGTAGCCCCACAAATGACAATTCTGTGAAGACGAATTTCACGTTTTTGGATGAGTTATGTTACTTGTGGTCAAATTTTAGACTATATATCTTATTCATCCATTCCTTAAAATTTACTTTGAAAAAATGTGTAATCACATTGCTGTAGCTATCAAAATTGACGATTTGTGTCATAAAGTACAGCTACACTTAATGCCACAAATCAAGCCTAAGAAGCTAATAACTATAATTTATAGTACGTACACGACTAGTCAAGAACATTTAGCTTTTCGAAAGAGATATAGTGCTGTTTACTAAAGAATTAACAGACATAAATATCTTGAATGTGTTTTTTTAAATAGGAGTATGTACATAACATTTATTATTTTATATGCAGATATACATATATACTCGTATACATATATACCTATAGCAAATGTGTGTACTCGTACATCCATGAACTTCTCTATTTGCATATATTACATACTCGTATCTCCTAGGCATTCATAATACCGAATTAATACCTTTTAATTGAACATGTGGTGTTGCATGGAAGACAAGTGAAATGTGTTAAAAATGAACCAAAAACCGTGCTTAATCGGGAATCCGATTTCTGCTCCGTGTACTTCGTTGATGTGCAAGAAATTTTTATGTGTTCGACACTCTTTTTTTATGTTCGTGTCTACTCTTCTAGTTTTCTGAGATGCGTACAAAATTGTCATAATGACACGCCATGTCGAAACGCCTACTAACATCACACTTTAGACAACACCGCGCCTCCTGGGCCACATAACAAGCCTTGAAGAAATGCATAGAAACCTCACGCATCACACAAGAGACTTAAGGAGGAATCGGTTTGGAAGCAGAGGTGGACAAATTCTTGTGCTGTTGCACAAGTAATTTGAGGACTAAAATTCCAGTTCATTCAATAAGATATTATTCTTTATAAACTAAGATCGAATTAAAAATAAATAAAAAAATAAAAAAACAGATAGGCAATAAATATCAACGTAAAAAGGCAAAAAGTAGTAGAAATAGTAGTAAAATTAATTACTCCGTAAGAAGCGTAACTTCTGTACGATTGCCATGGTTCATTTGGTTGTGATTTTAATAAGAAAACATATGTGAAAATAGCTGTGAACTGAAAGCAGAGCAGGATGTGTTTGTAAAGACACATAAGACAAAGAGGATTCAAGGATATAGAGATTAAAGCATATTACATACTTGCTCATGTAGTTCTGAATACTGCACAAGTGTTTGAAGTTTGACGAAGAGCAGTATTAAGTGGATTTGGATTTGATTTCGGACTCGGATTTAGTTTCGAATTTTAAAAATTGTTTAGAAGGCATAGCGACGTGTAAATGAGGCTGAGTACTTTAATTTTTTCACAGTTTTATGCTATTTTAGGTGTGAGAAGTAAACACTTTCACTGATGGCAGGAAATACGTAGGATTAAAGACAATGAGTGGTTTTTCTATGCGTAAAAATTAAAAATATGAAAAAAAATTTTTTCTGGTTGAGAAAGCCTAGATGGGACACAGCAATGTTTATTAAGCAAGTAAAACATTTAAACAAAAATAATTATTTTTAAGTGGCTTCAATAGCTATCTTTTCACTTGCCAACTCTTCTTATCAAAAATTCTTCTTAGGTTTTGTAGCCTCACTGCTGGTGGCCCAGTTTGGAAAGGCTTTGGTTGGAGGAACAATAATTAAAGTGAGTGGTATAATTTGGCTATCGTTATCACCAACTTCTAACACTGTCTTTATTTTATTCTCTGTTTGGTAACGAAATTCTTCCTTCTCCACTTAGGGTCATATTTTTATAATTTGGACAGAATAATGCTAAATAATTTATTGATAGTTATTCTTTATTTATATTATTCTATATATTTATATATTTTTTAATACATATAATCAAAATTTTTGTACGAGAATCTTGTCAGGGAGTTGTTACTGCACACACAGTGGGCAAATTATTATAAAATTTTAAAATTTTAGTAATATTACACAAAGTTTTTGTTCCCCGAACTTCATTATTCTTCCTACAGACGTTTTTGAAGTATTTCAAAAAATTGAAAAGCCTTTTCATAAATTATGCCAAATTCCTTTTGAAGTTCAACTTAATCGACAGTGTCATGAAGGTCCGACCCAAGACTATATGCTACAGCCAGTTATTAATATATTGTTTGAAAGAACACCTCGAAAAAATTGAATACACAGACTATGTAGACCTAACACTAGTGAACAACACGTACACGCAGACTAGCAATGAATGCAGAACTACGAAAGTCTAGAAAGGAATTAAAGGAAAATAAGCAAAACAGTGAGAACAAATATTTAAAACCAATTGTCTTTTTGTCCGCCTGGACAGTATAATAACGATAGAGAACTGAGCAATAAAAGACGAACCCACAGGTGCTGTTTTGCACAACTATGTGGAATGTCTAGACCACTGGTAGTCACCAAAAAACTAAGATTGTGATGATTTCATCAAAAGTTCTGCTTATACTGCTATATAGATCTGGTTAATAACTGAACAACAAGTTACAATCGTTCTTAAAAAAGATATCTGCATACCATACAGAATTCTGTAAATGGATCGGACACACGCTACACGTGAAACCCAAAGAAATATGTAGGCTACCAAAAAAACATGTACGAACTGTAATGGAGCAGACCGCTTGAATGGGGGCGGAAAAATCGACTTAAAAGCATAGTTGCTGAAAACTCAAAAAAATTTTAAAATGGTATTAAATGGCACTTATATTCCAAGGTAAGGTAATTGACTTATCATCACATCTTTATATACTTATAGTGGTTGATACTTTTGATTATCAATTTTAATAATAACTATTTTTATATAATTTTTGATTTCACTTCATTCATTCTTTTAAATAAATCCATATAAAGAAAGTTAAGAAAATTTCTTATTCATAATTAAAATAGCATGTTATATGTCTTTAAATATATCATATTAAAATATTTATCAAAATATCGTAATATTCAATATGCAGCAGATCCCTGTGGAAGAAAGGATTCGAATCTCGTATTTCTGAAGTCAAATGCAAACATTCTAATACATTTACTGAATTATAATAACTCCTTAAATATAGTCTGCAATAATGATATCCGAGACAATCATATTTTTTTAGAGCTTGTTTATTCTAGTATCTCTCTCTTTTTATCATAATACTTTTGTATAAATTCATTTTTTTTTCTAATAAGAAAATTATATAAAAATGGCATTGCCGTTATTGTTTATTTATCAATATAACGGTGTACCATAAATAAATTAAAGTATGGACAATATTAAAATCTTATTACAACTAATATAAAATTTTAAAATGACTATTTTATCGGCAATTGCCGACTAATAAAATTTCGAAGCAGCCATTTTGGTTGTAATGGCACAAAAGTTCCTTGGCTCGTAGTTATGGAGGCGTTGCCACACAATAATTTATTGTGCTCCAAAGATGTTGAAAAAAGACTCTGATTCGTCTTTAGACGCTACATCAGCACCCAAGCAAAAAGATGCGCAAAGTTGTTAACTTTACTTTGACTTGGCCAAAAACAAGAAAACACAAAAAAAACCCACAAACTGGTTTTAGCTCACCGGTCTCGTGAAGTTGTTTAGTATCTAGTGATCCGCAGTTCGCAGTCTGCAATCCGCGTTAAGTGACTAAAAAGAACATCAACAGCTTAAGCAGTCAGCGTTCAGCATTCAGCAACTCTTTACCGACTTAAGTGGCAGCAGCAGCCAATGTAAGCGAGATGCCGAAATCTGCTTAGTTTACTTGAGTGGAAATTTATGCGCATCAAGTACGGCCCACAACAACTCCGTTCATCTGAACTAAAGGAGGTTTAGTTAGCATCGACTCGTTTTTTAAGCAGTTCTTTTTTAAATTTTGTTCCATTCTTCTTCCATTTCAAGAAGAACATATTCTCATTTGAGAATTTCAAGAAAGTATTGTCGACAGCTTAAAGGTGATTTTTTGTCCAAAAATAAAATAAAGGAGAATTTTGTATATAAATTTTTAATAGACTGGAACAACTCTATATATTAACTATTGAATACTCTATGGTATTAATTTTAATGCACCGTGTATATACGATTTTAAATGGCATTAAGTAAATTTTAACAGTATGTCTAATTGATATCTTATTTATCAATAAGGTATTCAAATGTCCTTATTTCTTATCTGTGTTGCCGGAAGAAACTGAAATTGAAAAA